AAAATTGAAATCTTGTCCAAGGTAGAGCTCCTCAGCTCTATCTTGAAAGGCAAGCCACCCGGAAACCCACTGAGTGGTGATGTCATCAACTAGCTTGGCAATTAAACTGTCTTTCTCCTTACCTGCTGCCCTCTCCATCTCAAGCTTTTCCCGAAGAGTGTCGTTTGTCTTAGCCAGGAGGTCATATTCCCTCTTCATAGTTTGGTAAGAGCTCAAAGCCTCTAGGGACTCTTGATTGACTTTGAGCCATTCATCTATTTTCTGCCTGAGCTCCCCAGAGATTTTTTTGAGCTCCTCCTTAGCCTTTCTGGCCTCTTCCTTGTAACTCTTGCTTTCACCCTCAATCCTCTCCTTCTCTGCTTCCAAATCCTTGTTTAGGGAAGTCTACTTCTCCATCTGCTCTTGTAAATCCTGGATCTGAGCTTTGAGGTCGCTGTTCTCAAAGGACAACTCTGTGACCTTAAGCTCAAAAGCTCTAGAAGCCTGAGCAGAACCCTCCATGACTTGGATCCTTTTCAGTAGCCCGCTAATGTGGATGGCCATCTATGAGAAAACCCAACCCAGGAAGAAGCTTAGATCAGAACAATCAAATAAAAAAGAAACATATAGGTACATATACAACTGAACTTACGAAAGTAGCGGCAAAGAGGGCTATAGAAATGGAACTCCTAAGTGGCATAGTGGAAGCCCGCTGAATGTCAGACTCGGGGAGGATGGAGGCAATGGCCTCAGCAGCTTACTTTATGTTATCAATCAAAGAGCTCAAGCTTGCCTCGGCACTCCCCCCTTTCTCACTTTTGCAGATCTTTGAATGTTTTAGAGATGGTCCCTTAGAGGAACAAGGGGGAATAGTTCCAGTAGAATTCGAGAAACCACCTCCAAGGCTCTCTCAACCTCTACTGAAGAGGGAGGAACTGGGGTCAGAACTTGTTTAGGGACCCCACTAGATGGGGCAACCTGGTCTCCTAGGAAAGAGAGGTTTGTGCAGCCTTTGGGGAGTCCGAGGAGGTTGGAGGCCCCGCCGGGGTGAAGTAGGGGTCGCTTGAGGTGAAGCAGGGGTCACCTTTAGCGTTGGAACTTTGGAGACTGAGCTCCCTGACCCAGCCTCAGCCTTGCATTTGCCTCCACTCTAGTTCTTTCTCATCAAAGAGAGCTTGGCATTTTGATCCTTTACAATTGACTCCATCAAAGAAGAGTCTGGAAACTCAAGGAAGAGCTAACATGAGAAGGAAGGAAAAGAAAGGAGGCAAGTTTTAAAAAAAGAGAGAGAGAGAGAGAGAGAGACAAGGGCGAAGGAACTTCACATGCTACCTCCTCAGCCCTAACAATGGAGAGTGGAGTAGGGGCCTCTATTGTTACCTCTGGAAGGTTGAACCCTTCCCTTACTAGAACCCAAGGCTTAATGAGTTCAGAATATTTTTCTGGTTTATACTTCTCCAACCTCAGTAGCACCTGTTCGTTCTCAGTGCTGAGCTCAGGATGAACACTTGAAAAACAAAGTAACGCAGGGCAAGATTAGGTGGGCTCTCCAAATTTGAGCTTGGATAGTTTGAGCAAGGACTTACCCGAGTTATCGGGGGCAGACTAGGCTCTAGTAATGGGGAGAATATCTAGCTGAGTTGTACTCCCAATGTTCTCCCCACACGAAAAAGAAAAGTTTTCTTCAGCCCTTGTGGGAGCTCGGGAGGTTAGAAATAATCTGTTTAGCCTTTACCCGTTTAGAAACATACAAGAAACTATCAGTAGGGGTATACTTAACATTAAAAAGTTCCATTAGTAAGGAGACAGTGGGAACACCGAGCTTGTGTAGCTTGAAGAAAACAAGGAGGCCCACCAGGACACCTTAGAAGTTGGGAGACAACTGAGCAGGGCAGACGTTGAAATGTTGGAGGACACTTTTGACAAAAGGGTGTAAGGGAAAGCGCAGACCATTTTCAAAGGCAGCAACAAAGAAACAAACCTTCTTATGGACCTGTGAGACATATGGGGTAAACTTATCTAGGCACTAGAACTGAACTCCTGGGGGAAAACCGAAGCGAGCACTAAGAACCTTCATTAGAGGTGGACTAACCTCACTGGGGCCTGCGAGCTCAGCAGCTCTAAAGACAGCCCCTGCACCTTCGACACTGCCTAAGACACCAACTCCGTTCACCTTAGTCATGCATTTACTAGAATCTTTGGGTGTAGTGGGGGCAGATAGGGAAGTTTCCTCGGTGTTTCCCTCGGCTTCGGCATAATCAACCCCAGGGAATTTGTCAATTTCCTCACCTACATCGCCTAAGTTCGAGGTGTCCTTAGCAGTCCTATCCCCCAGAAGGGAAACAGAGGAAGGGGTGGCTTCAGAAGAGGCAGACATGGTGGGGCAGGAAAATAGGAGTCAAAAGATACGATAGAGGGGAGAAATATTTGCGGAACACTCCCTAAGGGTTTGGGGAGCAACATAACAACTCCCAATAAGAAAGACCCTAGTGGTCGAATAAGGGTCTAAGAAAAGGGGAATTTGAGATAGCGATCGACCTCGGTTTCTAAAATAGCAAAATCGAAAGGTCCAAAAATACAAGAACCACCTCAAATATGAGGGATCCAGAATGAAGAGACAAATAGAGGGTAAAAAGCGTACCTAGGAGATGAGGAACAGTAGGCCAAAGTCATAATCGGGGGCAAAGAGCAAATCTCGTCGAAACCTCGGATTGAATCAGGGAAAATCGTTTCCTCAGCAAAGCCCTAGTGGCACCAGCAAAATCGAAAAATTGAGAGTCAGAGGAAGAAGAGAGGAAAAAAGTACAAATAGGGAGTTCAAAGGATGGAATGAACCGCTCCCCCTCAATTCGGAAGCATTTAAAGCTAATGGTACAAAGTAGAGAATGTGCACAAGAAACTAGGAAGTGAAATGATTGCCTGAAATCGTTAAAAACTTGTTCGCGCACAAATTGAGGTTTATAGTTGGAAGTCAGGTCTGTTTAAGCCTCAGCTCAGCCCCTACTCAAATTCACCTGGAGTAAGGGCTGGAGGGTAACTGATAGTGCTCAGGATAATCTCCAAGCATGAGGTCGGTCCAGGAGGTCATATTCCCTCTTCATAGTTCGGTAAGAGCTCAAAGCCTCTGAGGACTCCTAACTGACTTTGAGCCATTCATCTTTTCTTGCCTGAGCTCCACAGAGATTTTTCTGAGCTCGGGAAAGACACGCAGAGCCCAAGTTAGAGCTAAGAGCTCCCCTCCCCCACGGCGCGCCAACAACAAAAGTGATAAGGAAACAACTGGATGATAACAGAAATCTGTTTGGTGGCAAAGAGCTATATTCAAGGCACAAAATCCTTAACCAACCAAGATCCTCTCTTAAGTTTAAGGAAAGTTCCACGGATAAATAGCAAAGATCTCGGTGCATATCTCATAGGCCCTATAAATACTATGTAACTCTCCCAAAGCAAGGGAGAAGAAAAAAAACTCTAGTAACATATACTCTATCCTGTAAACCTTCTGAATGATGAATAAAGGGAAAAAGAGTAAGAATCTCCATTGAAGAGTGGATTAGCCGAACTCCCGAGCTGGTGAACCACTATAATTCTATTGCGTCAATCCCCCAATTTCCCATCGATACCAGTCCTTGCTCTTTTGAGCCTTGTAGCTCAGATTCTAATAGCCAGATACAGATCAATCCATCTGCTCATTACCATAAATTTGCACCCACGTTGATTTATACCATCAAAACCCATTAATTAAACTAAAAGCAAAAAAGAAAAAGAAAAAGAAAAAAAAAAAGGGAGCTCCTTATGGAATAATGTGAGCCACATGTGAATTGAAGAGTTTATCTTCAATTGTGATATTTGCGCAGATACCAAGTGGGAAAAAGACTTCTGCCAAACAAAAGGAGGACTTCAAGGAGGTCGTGGCTTTCCACGAAACCGAGAGGAAGAAAACAAGAGTGATATTTTGTCCAAAGTCTTTTCGGATTGATATTTTGTAAGCTTTATCGGTGAAATATATTCTTGTTAGTTTTGTTAATATTTATCTTTGGGTAATGAATTATTAATATTTTAATAGTCTCTGTAAAATTGCTCTGGAAAGAATTATTGTAAACTCATTATTAGAATATAGTAGAAGGTTAAAATCGGTGTTCGTGGACATACCCCGAATTTGAGGGAACAACATAAATTTTGTTTCTTACTTGTGGTTAATTTTATTAATCTATTTTAATTTATTCGTTTATTTAATTTGCATAAAGAATGGTAGAAAATTAATTATACTATTTTTTGTGAGTTTACCATATATTGCACTTCTTCCACTAACATTAATATAATTGAAATATATAAATACTTATATTACACTTTTTTCAACAACTTAAATTTTTTAATGGAAGTGTAATTTAGTGTGTTATCATCGCATAAGGTTCAATATTAAAATCTCACTATCAGCCAAATAATTATAATACTTGCCCGTGTTTGATCCCATTTTAGGCCCACACGTGGAGGGACGTTCTAAAGTATATAACTACACCATTTCTAACAATAGATTAAACAGGCTCTTTTTTTTTTACTTTTTAAAACTTTTATTGGGAGGGGTCGGTACTGTTCAAATCGACGACCTAATAGTTTAACTGTAAACTATGATAGTCATTAGGTTAATCACTGATCCTCTGTGTCTAACGTTTACTAATTTTGTATTTTAACGTTAACAATTCTTAACGCTATTCGCTAAGGTAATACAAAATCGATACAAAATTAATAAATTAAAATTTAATTTTAACGAGTTCACTGAAAACCATAGGAACTCTGCTAAACATGACGAGACTTCTTCTAAACATGACATACATCCACTCAGAACCCAACTATATATGGATATAAAGTAGTCGGACATGGTTTGATCGAATTTTTTGAAACAACTCGACCGACTAAGAAACACAAAACAACCACCCAAGGTTAGTCTAGTGATAGTTCAGTCACATGATAAACATCTCGAGAGTAGTTCAAAATTCGAATATTCTATGAAGTGTAGTCACAGGCTCATAGATGTACTATACAAATTATGTACAAGGTCCACCATTAGTCCAGTACAGAAACAAGGAATACTACGATGATTTATGGCTGGGATATAAAAAAAAACACAAAACAACACGACCCATTAACAATGCTACGTGTGATTAATATATATCAAGTTTGGCTGATTGTTGAAAAACCAAAAGAAAACAAAAAAAAATTATGCAGTGCTTACACGTATGCGGATCTCTGTACGTGGATGAGTTGGACTGGTAGGCTTGTGAGGCTTATCAGTCTTATAAACCCACAACTTGCGAACCCCATCAATGAAGCTGTATCGTTGATCTATTGGCAAGTTATATGGCCTTTGGATTTCGAAATTTGATTCTTTCAGTGGGAGAGAGATGAATCCTTCAGTGGGATCCACAAGTGTTGAAGCCATTGCTGGGTATGAAATGAAGCAAATAAGGGTGGTTAAGTACAAGAGAGAGAAAGGCAAGAGACATTTATTTTTGAGTAATGTTAAATGGACTTAAAAATTAGACTTGATAATCTCAACCATTGAATAGGTAGTGAGTCCCAATAAATACTGGGACCCAAAATGAAATTAATGGTTGAGATTATCAAGTTTAGTTTTTAAGTCCATATAACATTGCTCTTTATTTTTTCCCTAAAAAGAAGGAAGAAGGAGGAGATGTGCACTGATATGGAACAACTATACATATGGTTAGATTAGTATATATAGACCTGTTTCACCACAAGAGTCCATCCACCCATAGACTAGGGGTGTTTGTTTCACCACATAAAGGATGTGTTTGGGTAGTGGGTTAAGGTGGGTTAACCTCCATGTAGATAGAGTAATAAGACAATGGGTCCCACACAACATTTGTTTGGGAAGCAAAAAATAGCTGGGATATAAATCTCGGGTCTATCCTTGACCCGGGTGCTATAGTAATTTTTAATCCTGGTACATGGGTTAAAATTAACCCACCTCCCCCTTGGGTTTCAATCCCAGCCGATGGGTTATGAAGGGGTAATTACATATTTATCCACCTCCTCTCCTGGGAGCTCTCTTCTCGCTTTGTGAAGGCAACGAGTCACATAGCTCTATCTCTCGCTCTGTGTGTGTGTGTGTCTCTCTCCCTCTCTCCCTCTCTCTCTCTCTGTGAAGGCGACGAAGCCCAAGCCCAGCGGTTTTGTTAGAATGGGTTTGGGTGTCTGAGTAGACCGAATGAAGAAGAGAACTTTACCTGTACCACCCCTAATCTCGATCGTTCATAGTCACCCGCACCACTACGATGGTGGATAATTTTATCCCCTAATTTCTCTATCTCTCATATCTGAAATGTGATGGTGGGTGATTTTGAAACCCTAATTCTCCTCTATCTTTCAAATTTGAATCATTTTTGTGGTGATGGTGGTGGGTGTTTCTATGGTGGTCTTTGGTGTTTCTATTGTGGCGATGGTTGTGATCTTCGGTGTTTCTGTTGTGGCGGTGGTTGTGGTCTTCGAAGTTTCTGTTGTGGCAGTGGTGGTGGTCTTTGGTTGTGGCGATGGTGGCGGTGTTTCTGTTGTGGCAGTGGTTGTGGTCTACGGTGTTTCTGTTGTGGCGATGGTGGCGGCGTTTCTGTTGTGGTGGTGGTGGTGGGTATTACTCCTGTGGTGGTGGTGGGTATTCTCCGTCTATGCAAAACTTCCCTAATTTTTTGTTGCTTCGTGTGGATAGAACGAAGAAGACGATCACTAGCAGATGGATGGTTCTAGCTTCTGGGTTTGATGGATTTATCTAGGGAGAATTACACTTAGATCCCCTGAAACTTGCCATTTGATTATTCAAACCCTTGATATTTAAAATATTAAACACAAATTCCCTCAAATTTATATGCGTATAACACTTAGACCTCTTAAGATTAATATCTTCGTTAATAAATTACACTTAAATCCCTTTGAAGTTTGTATTAGGTATATAATACTCAAACACCTTAAATTTAAAATATTATACTTAGACAAAAAATACTTCAATCAAAGATAAAATATCAAATATTATTTTACAATCAAAATTCATATTCTATTGTATTATTTACTGAAATAAAATTTAAAATAAAAATTTAATTTTTTCTTAAAAAATCATAATTAGTGTATAATTATACTATCTATTAAAATAAAACTAAAAAATTAAACAAGGGGTCTAAATCATATATAATTTGTATTTGTTTTTAAGTATATGTGAAAAATGTATAATCTTATTAGGATAATCCACCGGTCCAAACATATTAAGGCAAGGTTGTTTGCCTTTCTCCGATTGTAATCAATTATTAAGAAATAAAATAAAGTGTTGATTTGTTTGAAAAGAAAAATACCAATATATATATATATATATATATATATATATATATATATATATGTATTTAACTTTCTTTATTTTTATATGTTTTTATGTATATGTGAAAAATGTATAATTTTATTAAGCTTGGATGGGTTGACCAAACATAGGATAAGATTGGTTTGGATTGGAATGGATAAAGTCATCGGTAGAATGGTAAACTACTATGAAATTATTTGTGTAATTTATGGGGCCCACTAAATTATACATTTGTTTTCCAAACAAAGTTTAAGATTAGATATAACCTTGAGTTAGAGTTTTAAAGTGGATGAGTGAGTTTGACTTGGATGGGTTAGGATATAAAAAAAGAAATCCTATCCTATCCTACCCCATTACCTGAACACACCCTAACCTTTGAATATATCCAATAACCTTTGTTTGGGAAACAATGGGTTTTAGTTGGCGTGTTAATTTCAGATTGTAGGATTTTTCTTAATACAATCAATTCTTGAAACAAATCTAAATCATCAATATTAGAAAATTAGTCATGCTTCAANTATATAATTTTATTAGGCTTGGATGAGTTAACCAAATATAAGATAGGATAGGAATGGATAGAGTCATGGGTAGAATAGTAAAACTACTATAAAATTATTTGTGTAATCTATGGGGCCCACAAAATTATACATTTGTTTTGCAAACAAAGGTTAGGATTGGATATAATCTTAGGCTAGAATTTTAAAGTGGATGAATGAGTTTGACTTGGATTGGTTAGGATATAAAAAAACAAAACATATCCTATCCCACCCCATTACCCAAACACACCCAAAGGGGATAAGGTGGGGGATTGACTGAAAATTATCTTAGGCCCCACTTATCCTTGATTTGGGAATGTAAATGTGTTTGGATGCAGAGTTTGGATTGGATAGGTTTGAATTTTTTTTATCCTTTTCCAACCAATCCAATCCTCACAAGCATCTTCATTGGTTTGGACATTGATTTTAGTCTTTTCCATCCCTTGTTTGTGAGTGAATATTGAATATAACAGTGATATCATGTTAGTATTGATGACATGGTATCATCAATCAATAATACAACTTTAAATGGATAAAGTGAATCCTACGTAGATTTACATGGAAGAAGAGTGAGGGGTTATGTGTTTACATGACGTGTTAATTATTAATTTTTTATAGGGCCCATTTGTTTATTTGTTGTAATATTATGGTAGAATTACACTCAGACCCCCTGAGGTTTGTTACTTAATCACTTAAGGGGTGTTTGGATCACCATGAGAGGATTGAATTGGATTGGATTTGAATTTGAATCCAATCCAACCCAATGCAAAGTAGTTTGGACCCTAATGAATAGTATCCCATTTTATCCCATCTTTGAATAGAAAACATTTATTTTGTGGGTCCCATTCACATGTGTAAATGAAAGATGGTGAAATGATCATTGCACCCTTTGTAAAGAAATCCAATCCAATTCTATACCAACTTTAGATTGGTATGATGTCAATCCAAAATGAGGATAATTAGGTACTTAGGTTTGAACAAAATTCCGATTTAATAAATTGCGTTTTATAATAACATAAAGCCGAAAACTTCTTTATAATTTTTTTTATTGAATTTTGTACAACACTTCGTTCATCACAAAATCATATGAATCACTTTTCAAGTTATTTTGGCACCATTTTTTTTTTTTTTAACATTGATCTGGAAAGAGTACAATGATGGGCGTTCCACAAACTTCCCAAGGAGGCAAGGGAGTTGCGGAAAGTGATGGGTCAAAGGTGACATCGATTTTCAAATCCATAGATTGTGACAATGATATTGCTAGCATTGTATCTTTTTTCCATATCCCTCTTACTGTTCTGTGCCGCTCAGCCGATAAGGATGAACTAGCATGCTATGATTCTTCCGGGGAGATTGTTTTTTAAGAGGATGTCTTGGAGGCAGGATTGAGGTTTCCCATACCTAGGCCCATTTGTCGGGTTCTAGGTCACTTGTCACTTATCCTAGGGAGGTTGACCCCGAATGGTTGGAGGGTACTTTTTAGGGGTGTAACTTGGATTGGACAACCCGATTTCAACTCGAGCCTAACCCGAAAGAATTAGGGCTTGGGATAGGTTTTTTAATACTTGGGTTAAGCTTGGGTCAAAAAATCTCAACCCGACTTCAATTTGGGCGGGCCTCGGGCTAAGCCATCGGGTTCACAGGTTGAACTTGAATATTAAAATCGGGCTCAACCCGATTTAATAATCGGGTTCAATCCGAATTAATATTATATAAATACAATTTTATAGTTTATACTAGGGTTAATCTAAACTCAATCCGCGCCTTCCTTAACCCTCACTCACTCTCAGTTTCTCTCGATCTCTTAGTCTCTCACTCTCACAGTCTCACTCTCAGATCAGACCTATCTCTCACTCTCAGTCTCTCTCGATCTCTCAATCTCCCAAAGTCTATAGAGGCACCTAGTGAGCTCACATCGCCTCTGCCTCTCTTCGCCATCTCTCACTCAGATCGCTTATTACTCTCACTTAAGTCGTATCTCACTTAGATCGCCTCCAGGTATGATCTATATGCTCTCTCTCCCTATCCCTCTCCCTCTCCATCTTTAGATAATGAAAAATCATTTCAAACATTCCTCTCTATCTTCAGATCCCATCAGTCCCTCTTTCTCTGGTATATGTTCTCCTTTCTCTCGCATCGGTCCTTTCTCAACTGGATATAATAGGAGTTATAGGCGTTGTTGAAGACATGGTTGTATAGAAGTGTGCATTTCTATATAAATTAGAACTTTAAAACTAAGATTTCATTACTATGTATCTTGTTGCTAGCTGCACAGTAAATGAAGCTGGTGTTTATTGCAGATTCAAAACCAGTGGAAAAATCTAGTCTTGCTTGCTTAAGGCTAACTTCAAAATCTAGTATATTGCTTAACCCGAAATCAGCTCGTAAAGTAACCAAAAATCAGCCCGAAATCATTAACCCGAATTCAACTCGAGCCCGCCTAAATTAAACTTGGATAGTGCTTGGGTTAAATCTATCAACCCGAGGTAGGGTTAGGGTTAGGGTTGAAGATTATATACTTATGATTGGGCTAGGGTTGATTGTTTAACTCGCCCAACCCGCCTGAGTTGCATCCCTAGTACTTTTGGCGTTCTTTTCACTATGGCAACTGGTTCATGGTGAGGATGTTTCTCCCATTTTCGAGGAGTTCTTGGCATCGTATGTGCTTTTG